TTATCAGAGGCTTTCCCTGCATTCAATGGTATGATCATGTAGTCTTTATTTTTTTTTCATTGCTATAATTTCGTATATTTATTTTTTTCCTCATATTAAAATATCCTTGCATTCTAGGTAAATATTCTACTTAATCATAACAGATCAATGCCCTGCTATATTTGGATTAATATTTTTAAAGTCAATGATCATTAATATGATGTATTAATGCAAATAACCATATGAATAACAAAACAATTAACATATTTTTCTATAGCTTTCATTCTCAGTTTTGTCTCTATTCAGTTAAAGGACCAACACCATATATGTTTTGGAGAAGGACCATCACCATCCTTCTCAATGTTTTGAAACAGTCTATACAGTATGAGTTGCTTACAGTTGCCTATCTGACTTCTTCTAAGACTGATCTATTTAAATTGTCCACTCTTTATTTTGTTAATTTAGGTATTTTATTCTTTCATAGATAATCTATTTCTTTCAGCCTCTCAAACTTATTAGCATGTGTATACAATGGAGTTATACTGGGGCCACAAGGACCTGGAGTTATGTTACAGGTATTTGCTTAGATAGATATGAGCTAGTCCAAAATGTCCCATTCCACAAGGGAAACTGCAGTTTCTACTTTTGTGCAGAGCAAGAGGGCAATGGCTGGGTGCTCACTATTCCACTCTTCATGTCCAAGAAGGACATATCTATCTCTTACACATTCGATATTTGCAATCTAGGGACATGATGCTGTATCATAGGTTCATAATAAAATCCACTTTCCCAGGTTACTCTAAAGGAGAGGGTAGCTATTAGCCTACACTCTCAGACGGATAGCTTAGCTTCCCTTCCACTGGAAACTTATCATACAAAAGCCAGTCATGTCTAGCAAGCAAACATATTTATCCAAGCAAGCTGTAGAACAGAAATCAAGAAAGTGATACGTTTTAGGGTAGATGATAGAACACACATGAGTAAATAAATTCTTCAACTCAAGAGTAAGATAAAATTTCAGCTCACTCATGGAAAGAACCACTTCACCAGAAAAGTTCTGTCAGTTTCTGGGGGTTCCAGTGCTGAGAATAAAGGGACATGTTGAGAGGAGAGAGGGAGTCTTCCGCACATGTTCAGGCTTTAGAGATTCCCATTAGCTATTCAAAAGTTTATGTCTTCAAGGCAGCTAGGTGGCGCAGTGGATAGAGCACCGGCCCTGGATTCAGGAGAACCTGAGTTCAAATCCAGCCTCAGACACGTAACAGTTACTAGCTGTGTGACCTGGGACAAGTCACTTAACCCCATTGCTTAGCCAAGAAAAAAAAAAGTTTATGTCTTCTCCCTCACCTCATCTCACAAGCTCCTGCTTCTCTAATTCTCTCTTCAAAGTCTCTCTCCCTCACCTTTGCTGTACATTGAATATGGGCCCAGAGGCCTCTCAGCCAATCATGAGCCACACTTCCCTGTATACAGCACAAGACTATCCTTTAAAGAACCAACTAACTCTCCTAGGGTGGGGATGTTACAGATAATAATCTAAGATAAATTTCTTTATTTATTTATACTCATAATCCCTCCCTTCTCATTTCTGATTTTGATAATTTGACGTCGTTATCTTTTTTTCTACTAATCTTATTGTTGATCAAGTTAGATTTTCTAAATTAATTCCTTTCTACTATTACCTATCTCATCATTTCAGCTCCACTGCTATCACAAGGAATGAATGTTTTTCAGTCAAGTACCAGTAGTCTCTCTGGATCTTCCGAGAGAGCCATTGATGGATCCTTGGCAGGTGACTTCAGTGAAGGATCTTGTATGCAGACATTATCTGAGTATGATGAAACTGAGGCTCATAGAGGTTGTAACTTGTCTTTGGTCACATAACTTGTGTCAAAGGCAAGAGTCTAACAATGTATATTTAATGATTGTTTGAATGATAGTAATGTTTATAGCCTATAACAGTTAATCAAAGCAACCAGCCTTTGTAGGTGGTGAGTCATCAACAAACTTACAATAATGGAAAAAACTTGTAATGACATTTAAATAGCTGGCATTTATGTAGTTTTGTAAGGTTTGTGAAGTGCTTTACAAATATTAATTCATTTTATCCCCATAACCTTAAGAGGTAGGTGCCATTATTATCCCCATTTTACAGATGAGGAAAGCGAGGCAGACAAAGGTTAAGTGATTTGCCCTGGGTCACACAGTTAGTAAGTGTCTGAGGGCAGACTTGAAATCCAGTCTTCCTAACTTCAGGTCCAGCGCTCTCTCCAGTGCTATCTGGTAGATAAGCTTTTCCAGATAAGTGGCACTGAGCTCCAAAAAACTCTGAGTTAATAACTGTGAAAGGAACCAACAAAGGACCCAGAGAATGCGTATGAAATGAGACATGAGGAGAGCAAGGAGAATGTGCTAAGCTCTTATCCTGATGTATAAAGATTGTGAAGGAATGATATATCTAAGACTGAGTGTGAGCTTGAATTCATAAGTTCCCAAAGTGGGCACTACCACCCTGGGGGTGCTGGAACAATCTAGGGGGGCAATAGTAGCCCCAGGTGTAACTGGGAGAAGTTGAATAAAAATAAAGGGGCAGTGGAAGCATAAGGAAAGAACAGAAGAGAATTTTGAAAAACCCTTCGTGCATGTTTCATCTGTTGTGTAACAGAGTTAAAGCTGTAGTGATTACATTATTTTCCAAATAAATACACAAAATGCAAGTAATAACTGATCAGTGGTCAAATTTGCCAACAGGGCTTAATAAGCAAGTGTTGGCAGGCAAGCGTGTTGCATTGTTGGAAAATCTAGCATGCATCAACAGGAATATGTATGTGTAATGACTTGTTTATAATATGATGCTATATGGTTACATGATGCAATATTGCATCATCAAAATTTCAATGCAAAAAAACCCCCACAAATTTACAATAAATTATTAAATACAAGATGCATCATTTTTTTTGAAAATGTTTTTATGAGACGACGCAAATTTCAAAAAAACTGTTAAAGAGTTAAAGAAAGTAGATTTCCAGCGGGGTACTGAGTAATTTTTTTTTAAAGGGAGCAGTAGGGAAAATAAGTTTGGGAACCTCTTAACTAATTGAACTTTGCCTTTGGGTCTCTTCTTCTATCTCTGCTATTGGGACCTCTCCCTTTCTCCAGGTATTTATCTACAGTCTCATCATTGCAGGTCTTTCTCTCTCAGCAATGCTCACTTAGATATTAGCTAATGACTAAAATGCTAACAAATAAATTTTGTAATGTTTGTTGTCAAAGGATGAGGACAGATGTGTTATGTAGCAGTTCAGAGACTGCTTCCTTCCAGGTCTCATGCCAATACTTTGGATAAACTACAAATTGGGTGGTTCCTGGATGATGGCTTCATAGTCCAAAGGTATTATAACAATAATTAACTGTCAATTAGATGACATAGTGGCTAGATCACTGGACTTTTAGTCAAGAAGACCTAAATTCAAATCTTCCCTCAGACACTTATTACCTATATTGACCTTGAGCAAATCACTTCTTTTCTGCCTCAAGTTCCTCATCTGTCAAATGGGGATAATGATAATACTTACTTCCCAGGGTTCTTGTGAGAATAGAATGGGATAATATTTGTAACTAGGGATAAAGGAAAGGGCACATCCATACATAAGGATCCCTGCAGGCCACATATTGACTTAGTTTTAAAATATAATGTTATCTATGTTTTATTATATTTTTATTTATTGTGTTAAGTATTTTCCAATTACATTTTAATATGGTTCAGACTGCACTCAGGAAATGTTGCTTCTGTGAGCTGAGTGTTGGATACCTCTGGCCTAGACACCTCACTAAGAAATATTTGATTGAAGGTATTTCCTCACACTTTATCAGTGAAATCACAGGTCCGGTACTAGCAACCACATATACATTTTTTAAAACTTTATTGAAACAACTACACATTTATCTTAAAGAACTTACACAAGGTGTCCCAAAAGTCTTAGCTCAGTTTTAAGCATATCCAAGCTTATTATTTAAATGTAATACACTTTAATGAAAGATTTTTAAACTAATCATACACCTACAAAATGCCTCTGTCATTAATGCTCATCAATAGTCAGTGAGTCTAGCTCTGTTTTTCCCCCCTCACTCTGTGGAAGTCTTTGTACCACTGTTTATGCTGCAAGGCATAAACTTGGTTCCAGCATTACAAGTCCTTCAGCATACCTTTTCAGGTAGCTTTTCTCATCTCATTATCCAAATTAAAGGGTTGACCTTGCTATTCCCTCTGGCTCTTCTGCTCTTATCTTATCAGAGTGGTTCTGGTTTCAGTCAAAATTCCTTCACAAATGGGGGCTAAATAAGGTGGATGGGAGCTTCTTCCAATCTTAGAAATAATCATCAGTAGCCTTCTTGTACCACCAGTTTTATCTGTAGGCAAAAGATAACATTCACATACTCCTAAGTACTACATTTGCTCTCAGTTTCCCTATGATCGATTGTTTTCTTTGAATCAAAAGGGAGAGATTTTTCCCTCCTTAAAAGGAGAAAGTTGCCTCTTTCCCACCAGGTATCTAGCACTGCTTTGCAAGTTGACCTCTACTTAAAAAGAATTCCAATTTCTAAGTCTATAATAGGCTTCCAACACATATATTTTGGAATACTGACTGTCCCCTGGGGAAAAAAAAAAAGGTGTGTTTGTATCTCATGGGGATGGTATAGACCCAAAGAATTTATGGCGAGAAAATGAAAGCAAGAAGGATAGCAACATGTTAAAGGTCATCTCACTCCAGAAAATACATTTAGCACCATCAGAGTAGTCAGGTTCACATCAGTGTAATTCAAATATCACTATACCTCCAGTTTGACTTACTGCTGTATGGAAATATGATGGTGCCATGAATTGGATATCACTAAGTTAAAAAAAAAAAAGGCCCCCAGACCTAAAGAAAGTATTTTAAAAACAAGGCGTTCAAAACTTCACCATGTTTTACTTATGTTGTATTCAAGGTAATTTATTTGAACAAACCAAAATCCTCCAAAATAACAACGTGGTTTCTATTTAGATGTGCTACAATTTCTTCCTTGGATCCTGGAAGAACAGAATCTTTCTTCTGTGGGTCAATGAATGGGAGATATGTGACTGTCACCATTCCAGGGAGAAAGAAATTCCTAACTTTCTGTGAAGTGCAAGTCTTTGGCAAACTAGCTCCTTTTCTTCCTCATGTCTTGCCAAGACCCCTAAATGACCTTCACAGACCCCTTGGTGAGTATAATAACTTAGCACTTAAAGGTTTGCAAATCACTTTACATTTTATATGATTTGATCCTCACAACAAACTATTAGGGAAGTGGTAAATTTTTATGTTCAAGTTTCTTATTCACTTCTTCTTATTCACTCCTGAAAATTCCCCCAAATTATTTTACAAAATACTGGAATGCAATAATAATAGGTGAGGTTTACATATTGCAAAGCATTTATATAATTTTCAAAGTACCTTATATATGTTATTTCATTCAAGCTGCACGACAACTCCTGTGAGGTAGTCACAATTGGTATCATTTATCATACCCACTTTACAAATGAGGAAACTGAGGCTCTTAGTAAGTGACACATTCAGGATCCTATGTGTCAAAGTCAGAATTCAAACTCAGGTTTTTCCTGCCTCTAAGTTCAGCAGTCTATCCACTATACCACACTGCCTTTCTACAAATGTGCAGCATTAGATTTTATATTCCTTTCTTACTTTTTCAGGGTCCCTTCAATATCCCAAGTTAAGTAGGGGTTCACTTTCAGAATCATAGTTATGTAAATATAGTTCACCTCCCTCGCAGTAGTCTTTCCCTATTGTTGCTAGCCACAAAAACCTATAGAAATCTCCAAAAGTGTTATGTTCTGGCTTCTGAGGAACAGAAGCCCTCAGTCAAAAGAAATGGATGCTCACACTAGTGGAAAGGAACCATGAAACCCTCAGATAAGATCACAAGGAGTCAGACATGACTGAAAACAACTGAACAACTCAAGAATCATTAAAAATATCAATAATCCTTTCTTTGATTATGTGCTTAATTAAATAACTCATGTTAAGTAAGTTGGCCAACTGGCAGACACCTAGAGACTTTAGATGGATTTTCATGTTACAAGTTTTAAAAGAGCTAAGATATTGTGATTTGTTTCAAACTTCAATATGTATCAGCTTCCTTATTTCTGTTTGCTCATGTTGTTTGTCTTTCAGAAAGCAACAGTTCAGTTGTCATTAATATGGAAATTTCCAGAAGTATATATAGTAGTACGGTCATTTCATGTATAAAAGAGAAATTAGGGATACAAAAAAAATTAATTTCCTTAAGCCAAGATCTAAAATCTCTTCTGACTAAAATCCCTTGTAAATAAACTGACCTTTTTCTAATACGTCAGATTAAATAACATACTTTCCAATTGGTTAGGGATGTATATGCATGACTTCTCACTAATAAAGTTACATACAAAATGTGAATTTAACTCTAACATGACCCAATATAGTTTAAAGTTTTCTCATCTTAAGTTTTAGAAGAACAATATTACACATAAATGAAAGATATCTTTATCCAACTTCTAGCTATCTATAAAGGCTAGAAAAACTCAAAATGCAGTCACGCTTTATCACTATATATTTCTAATGATAAGAATTTTGGTCTTATTCCATGGGTGTATTTAGTTGCAAGGGACAATTTGTTTCTGTAGGATTATTCTCACATTGAGACAGCAAATTATAGTTCAAGTCATAATGTTTAAACTCTAAATAATATATGGCACTAAATATAGTCCAGTGGTCATGTAATCGAATATTTTTTTCTTAAATATTTTTGAACATCCAAGTCTGTCATGGTTGAATAAAACATACAACAATGCAGACATGCTAGGATAAAGCTTTGGTGGATGCTAGTACTGGAGCCTGGGGAAGAAAGGGGAATGGGATAGAGTAACAACTCTTTGTCCTGATGAAGTTAAAATGCTACAATTAGCCAAAGTAATTTGGCTGGAGGCAGAATGGAGGGGTTCAGACATCTTAGCTTCTCTATAAAGGGGGAAATTGTTGAGACAGACTCATATTTATTACAAAATTCACTAGAACTTTTGGTTAAAATCCAAAACATTAGAATCTGAAATCAATTTTCTAAATACTGTATTTTAGAAGATCATAAGTGTCCAGTGAAGCAGTTATTTTTCCTAACTTTTTTTCTTTCTTATGCTGCTTATCAAACCTAAACTAACTGTCCACGTTCCAAGATTTTACACACTTAAATATTAGACAATCATTTTCCAAAGGAAGAGTATAATATTTTCTCACGTCAGTGAATGTTCGAAATGATATTGCTGCAAGCCTTAAGGGAGCAAGGCATTTTGTACATATCTTATTTATGGAAGCTGAGTTCTTAGGGTCAAAAAAACTTTTTATCCTTTAAAAGCTCTAAGAGTTGGAGGAGGCATTTCTGGTATTTGCTTATCTCTCGAAGACTCATTCTAGATAAAATCACCTTCGAGCAATGTTAAGATTCTAAATTCTCCTAATCTGTTGTTCTACCTCCCACTTCCAAAGTTACAGCTTAAGCATTTGAAATTTTCCAAGTTCTATCTATAATTTACATTTTTCTTTAGGTAACATATTACAAAGTTTTTTAAAAAAATAAAACATACATTGGTTACATTAGGAAAAAAAATTTCAAAGAGGAACATAGTAGAGGAAAACAAATAAGAGACAACAAAGGCATTATTTCCTTCCTAGAGATAAATCCATCCTGGTACTGATAAAAAAAAAACACTCAAATTCTTAATTCCCAATCTAACAACTCATAGGAAAATCATTTTGAAATTCAGTATAACAGTTATCAGATATTCTTCCCATTTCTTTAAAACTGATTCCAACTATTTTTTGGTTGGGTCAATTATATTGTTATATTCAATAAATGTTTAAAGGAAAAGGCTTTTCCTCCCATTTATCTATTTCCTTCTCTGGGAAGAAGGTAAAAAACACTACTCAAAATTGAGCATAGGCACTTACTGAAAACTCTTGTTCCTTCAACTCACCACAGCTAAGTCAAAAGTTGTTTACCAGTCTCACTAAATTGATTGCATCGCATTTACAAATACAGATACAAGACAACAAAACAGATGCTTTTGCCTGCAAATTCATTCACCCAGAAAGCATTTCTTTCTTAGGACCCATACCAGGTTTTGAGACTTTACCTTTTCTCCCTATTTCTAGGAAACATTTACTGTTTCAACTTACTGAAGGACTGTTTTTTCTCTGTTATTGTGAAGAAGTGAGTCTCAATTGTTTAACTGAATGGAGAGTTAGGAGAGTCTGTGCATTAATTTAGAGGGAAAAGAAAATTTCTCCCTTTCATATTTTGAAATTAAGTTTTATTATGTTATTCTTTTTCTTAAGTGCACTATCAAAGCCAGCCTCCACTGTAACTCCCCAGGTCTCCGCCAAAGTGAGAGCCTATCTCAGACCAAAGAATTACTTCACAGAAGGAGAGACAACTCCACCTTCGAAAAGGGGGCTCCTGAGGAAATGAGACCTTGTCTCAGTCTGTGGTTACTCCACCAAAGGAGACATGGTCTGCCCCTCAAAAAGGTGTCTGCTAAAGTTTCTCCATCTGCCAAGAACTGGCAAAAAAAAAAAAAAACAAAGAGTCCTCTGAGGAACTAATTAGCACAAACAAAAGGGAAGAAAATAAGACATGCAAGTTCTTACTGACTTGTTAGAGCGGGAGAAAAAACGTGGCTGGGGAACCTATAAGCACCCTTCCTTTGAAACCACAAAAAAAAAATTTTTTAAGATTTTTTTTTGCCTTCACATTGGTTCCTGGAACTCAAAGGGAAACAGTCCTCCATCCCCCTCACTCAGATTCATGTGCTAGTCACACCAAAAACCGTCATGGTAAAACGACCACTTGTTTCTATTTTAAGCCAGATTAGTAGAAACTTTATTAAAAGACCACAGAGAAACAGAACTGGAAAGTAGTCACAGGGAGACTCTTTATGAGAGCAGGTCCCATCAACTGGATTTGAAGAAGTCGTTTTAATTATTACCTCAAGTACAGGAGCAGGTAAATTAATCTGCATTTCAGCCTCTGTATAGAACTTTAACATTATTAACCAAAAATGCACCATCATCTTTCAGGAAAATGGTACATAAATTTCACTGTCTTTATGTTTCTAATCCCAACCAAGGATTATCTGCAGCCACATGTGCCCCTCTTTGCTCTGTGAAGTTTGGATTCAAAGGGCTGAAATATGCATTTTCCTATAGAGACTTTGCTATATATTGTGGTTTGGTTTTATAGTATTATAAGGTACAAGACTATATTAAGTATATTATGGGCTATTTGTTGGGCTGATCTGAAAACCAATACTCTATATAAAATTGCAGTGTTAACATGACAAAATATACATTTTAAATTCCTAACAACCATCTCATAGACTTCAAAAAAAGCACTCATGCATAATTTGATAACCATACATGTGAATATGCCTGAAGATACACATACATTATAAATATATACCTATCAGACATAGAAATGACAAGGTATATCTTATTAAATCAATTTATTTAGGGTTTGATGGTATTTTTTCTATAAGGAATTTTCTTTTTTATAATAAATAATAACAAATTTAAAATTTTTATTACATATTTCAGGTGTCAATATAGCATTAGGGAAAATTTCTTACCAGTACAGCACTTTCCACCCCCTTGGTTCATCTGACAAAGCCATTGATAGGAATGAAGCCAGTGATTTCTACAAAAATTCTTGTACTCACACAAGTGATGATTTTGAACCCTGGTGGGTAGTAGACCTAACTTCAAAATTCATCGTGGATAATATTATGATCATCCCTAGAGGAGACAGTTGCACGGGAATGACTGCAAAATATGAAATTAGGTTTGGAGATTCAAAAGAGAATGGTGGCAAATCAAATCCCAGGTATTATTTCACTCTGCAAAGTAAATGAATAGTTTTTGTTTTCACTGTAACTTCTCAAGCAATGTTTTATGCTATTTTCCCAATACAATAAAGGGCCTTCCCAGGTACAAAAAAAAATATTAAAGCCTTCCTTCCCCATCCTCCTGATTCTCTCCTTGAGTCAGTCTAACGTGAACCTTCAGGAGAGAATGTCTCAACTGAGACCAAGATTCATTGTAAATTCAAACACAAAATATTTCCAATCCATTTGTGTATTCTAGCCTCCTTGACACTTCAAAGCCAGTTTTCCTCTGTGCTGATTTTCGGAGGCAGTGGCCAAATAATTTTCCTGGGCCCTCTGACTACCTCAGATAATCTGAAAATCATACATAGGTGATTATTCTTCTTTCTTCCTTTCTTGGAATGACACATTACTATCCTTCCCCCCACTCTCACCCTCAAATGGTAAAGGTATTCAAATCTGGCCTCAGACACTTGACACTTACTAAGTATGTGACCCTGGGCAAGTCATTTAACCCCGACTGCCTAAGCAAAAAAAAAAAAAGTAAAGGTGGAATTTAAAGACCGATATATATCAAGAAAACTTCTCTCTTTCTATGTTCTCCTGTATTAATTATGTATAGTGTGCCAGGCACTTTGGTATAAGCTTCAGATAAAATTATTTTAAAATGATAAAATCTCTGGCCTTATAAAGCTCATATTTCTATGGATGGAGACATGATATACATAAAGAAAAGTAGATAAAGGATATTACTCAAGTTGTCCCATGGATTTGAGTACTCCCTCCAACCTTGCTCTTGTATTCTCATAAACTTGCCACAGGAATTCCACATAAGATAACTGGGGTCCTTCTTCACTTTCTCCGAAAATCATGAGGAAACCAATGAAGCACCCAGGCTGAACTCTGGTTATATCTCACTCTCATCACATGATCAACTCATCTTCTTTTTCAGTTATGTTTCTTTTACATTGACTTTTACATTTACATTTACTTTACTTCAACTTCTCAATCCCCTTTTTTGTGATGTGTTTGTACAACCTTGTCAGCCAACCTTGTCAACCAATCATCTCTCCATTGTTCTTTGAGTGTTTTTCAGTTTCAGTTATTCAGAGATTTTAGTATTCCATGATTTACAGTAATGCGACAATACCAGAAGCATATTGGTATTAAAAAGATGGGTCTCCGTTTTGATGATAAGCTTGGGGGTCATTAAAAGAACTTTGCAACTTCCCAAAGGTAATCTAACCTACTTTCCTCCTCCTGTACATTTCCAAGCCCAATTTGGGACCCATTTGTAGTTTCACAAACATATAAGTATATAATTAATTATATTATATAATACGTAATACAACAATTAAATCTGTAATTACTATTTTATATCTGTTATATGTGTGTGTATATATATATATGGAGACGTGCTGTGGGTTATCCATTCAACTGGATATCACAGTCTAGAACATTGGCATTCCTCATCTACTTGGTTTTTCCTATTCCTATTTAGGCCAAATTCTTTAGAATGATTATGGATGTCTTAGCTGTGTGACCCTAGGCAAGTCACTTAACCCCAACTGCCTCACAAAATAAAATTATTATGGATCTCATTTAAAAGACTCTGCAGTATTTTAGGGCTTTTGCATTAAATATAATGCCATCCATAGGTAGGAGCATCTAGAAGACTTCACCATCTTTAGGGTATTCCTCTTTATATGGAACCTATTTTGGATCTCTTCCACGACAAGGACTAACACCTTCAATGAGCATATCTGCTTTATGCTTCTACATTAATGATCAGAGGGTCAATGTTATATTTTTCAATGAATCTTGTATAATTTTGGTAAATGATGGAAGATACTTTATTAGAGGAGGGTATTTAAAGTGTTTTGCTCTGGGAAATCAATGTAGTTTTATGCAAGGGCACAGAGATATCTTGCATTCTCTATCTTTCAGTCAATTACATAAGACTAAATATTTGGTCTCAGGGACAGGTAGGTGGTACACTGGATAGACTGCTGGCCCTAGAGTCAGGAATAACTGTGTTCAAATCCAGTCTTAGACACTTGCTAGCTGTGTGACCCAGGCAAGTCACTGAACCCTGCTTGCCTCAGTTCCCTCATCTGTAAATAAGCTGAAGAAGGAAATGGCAAACCACTCCAGTATCTTTGCCAAGAAAACCCCAAATGGGGTCCTACAGAATCAGATACAACTAACTGACAATGACAACAATAAATATAAATACATACACATATCCATATATACATACATATACATATGGATATATGTACATATATATTTGGTCTGCTATGGAATATCACTTATGGAAGCCTGCCTGTTCCCTTTTAATAACTTAATCAATGATGTAATTCATATGTAGATTATCTCAAAAACATTTTTTAAAAGATGGAAATGTAGGCATAAGGGGTCAGTGATTATTGATGTAGTACGGGGGCACTTCGTTCTCACACTTGGAACCCCAAAATAACTACCTCAGGTTCAGGCTACTCTGTGGACCCACATCCACTCAAAACCACAATTCACAAGCCCCCATTTTTACATTTACTTTTTTCCTCTAGTCAGACAGATAGGACACAATTAGCATCTTATTAGATTTATGCCAATGTTCTAGCCTATCAGAATCTTTTTGAATCCTAACTTTCACCCAGCACCTCAGCTCTCCCTCACAGGTTTGTATCATCTGAAAACTTTATAAGCATACCATCTATGCTTTTGTTTAAGTCACTGATAAAAATGTTAAACAGCACAGAGTTGAGCATAGATCCCCAGGGGCTGAGACCTCTAAGTTTGAAAAATTCATTGCTTCTCTTTGAATCCAGACATTCAAACAATTCCAGACCAAAATAACTATAGGCCATATTTCTCTATCTTATCATCAGGGATAGCATGAGAGATTTTTATCAAATGCATTGCTAAAGTCTAGATAAACAACATTCCCCTCATCTACCAGTTTAGTAATCCTGTCGTAAAAAGAAATCAGCTTAGTCTGGCATGAGCTGGTTTGGGTGAAGTTATGCCAGCTCTTTATTATTAACTGTTCAATTTTCTAAATGGATCCTTTTAACAATATGTTCTAACATTTGCAGGAAATAAAATTCAAGCTTTGAAAACTGAGAAAACAGTTTTTGTTGTTCAATCATGTCTAACTCTTTATGACCCCATTGAGATTTTCTTGGCAAAGATATTGGAGTGATTTGCCATTTCCTTCTCTAGTTCATTTCACAGATGAGGCAAACAGGGTTAAGTGACTTGCCCAGAGTCACACAGCTAGTCAGTGGATTTAAACTCAGGTCTTCTTGACTCCAAGCCCAGCACTCTATCCATTGTGCCACCTCGCTGCCTGAGACAATATTTATCCTTCTCCAATGCTACAGAAACTTTTCCATTCTCAACAGGTCTTTCAAAGATCACTGACAACTCAGCAATCCCATCTTCTAGGTTTCTTTAGTACCCTGCAATGTGGTTCATCTGGACCTGGTAACTTTAACTTATCAAAGGAAGTTAGGTACTCTCGTATTGACTTCTGTTACCTATTTTTGTTCTGTGCTTTCCAGTCCAGATATCACTTTTCTTGGCAAGAGAAAGGAAAATAGGAGTTGAATGTCTCACCTCCCTCTTTTCATCTTTGCTTAGCATTATCCCACATACCCCAAGCAGTAGCACTATTCCCTCTCTGATCCTTTTCATTTCCCTACTGTTGCTTTAAAAAATAAAATAAAAAAATTTTTGTTGTCCTTAGCTTTCTTCACCAGCCTCAGCTCAATCTAAGCATTAACACTTTTTAAAGATTTTAACTTCTCGGATAACATTGTCATGGTCCCAAAATCATTAACGTTGTACCATAAGCAATCTACTTTGTGTGTGAACTTTCAAATAATTCCTATTTCAGAAAGATCATCTTATCCCTATATGGTCATTTTTAGATGTGGAGATAAAGCCAGAATTAGTCCAGGGCAAAAATATATTTTTAAATGTGATGGAATGCAAGGACGTTTTGTAACTGTTACCAAGCCAGAAGTAAAAGAGTTTCTCAGCCTTTGTGAAGTAGAGGTGTTTGGTAAGCAAGTCATCAACTCTGGTAAGTATATTTAATGAGGAGGGAAGAGGAGAGGAAGGGAAAGAGGGAGAGGAGGAAAGAGAGAACAGGGGAGGGAGAGAAGGAGAAGAGTGTATGGAAGAAGGAGAAGAAGGGAAAATACAGAGACAGAGATGGGGAGAGGGGGAAGGAGACAAAAAGAAAGGGAAAGGAAAAGGGGTAGAGAGAGGAGGAGAGAGAATGTGTGTCAGGATATGTTGGAGAATATGGTTGGAGGAATCACTGCCAAATGAAAGGAAAAAAACTTATTATTGTACAAGATGATATTTTTTATCATTAACTAAAATATTATAATTTTCAGGTTGAAACCACCACAATTTTTTTTCTCCCTTTTCATTTCTGATGAAGAACATTTTAGCAACCAGTCCTCTGACTAAAACACAATTCCAAAGAAGTCACACAAGGCAAATCTCTTCCTTTTTTTTCCAATGTCTACATCTAAGAGCATAACTATATCTCAAGAGCTGGTAACAGACACTCAACTTTGAACAATATCATTAGGAGGTATCTTTCATCTCTGTAAATTCAATATCAGCTTATCCATATGATGCAAGAATCTACATTTCAATCTCATAGCCCTGGAATAGAATTAAATTCCTAAAAATACACATCACTTGGCACAGAAGAGGTAGTTGTGATGAAATGTTTGAAAAACAAAAAGACTCATTATGTCATAATAACCAAACAACCCTTTGATAAGAAATTCAAAATTGTGAAAGAATCACCAGAATAGGATTATCTTTTTATGAAGAAATCACATCCATTGGATTAGCAATGGCAGCATCATTGGAACAACGGGATAGAGCTTCACACAAAAGACTCATTTGGACCTTCCCCTTGACCCGACTGTAAAAGGTTAATAACCTCAATACATCCACATAAGCCAATGATCTGCATGATTGATGCATTATGTTTCTTTAACATGTCCACACTATAAATTTTACTTCTTTCTTCAGTGTATCATTCAATCTACTTGGAGGAATACTCATAAATTAGTAAAAGTTCTAAATTATATTTGTTAAGTATTTAATATTTAAACAAACATGGGAATCTAATTTGTTGTTAATGATTAACAGCATTTTGCCAAAGAGAAATACTTACCCACCTATTTTAATCAAAAGCTATAGATCACTGGTCACTAGAATAGGGTTTGAATGATTGCCTTTTTAAGCAGTTAAAACATGTTCATCTATGACCTTTTACAATTATTTTAATCTGTAAACCTTTAGTTCATAAATGATGCAAAGCAGAGGTGGTCCTGAGGAGGGGAAAATAAGAATTGGGCAAAACATTGTTGAAAATTTCAAGTTCATGTTGATGAAACTAAGCTGAAGAAACTGGGTTTTTTTGGTTTGGAGAAGACCTCAAGCAAATATCATTAACTATCTTCATGCATTTGAAGGGCTATCACGTGGAAGAGCTATTGCCTTAGCTCTGCTTAGCTCCAAAGGAAAGAATTAGAAGCAATTAAGCAAACTTGAAAAAAAAAAGTAAAATTAGGCTTAATTATCAGGAAAAACTCCCAAATAATGAAAGGAAATTTTAGAAAGGGAAGAGACTGCTTAAGGAAGTAGCCAGTTCCCTCTATCTTAGGGCCTTAAAGCAAAAGCTAGAATGATAATGATTTGTAGGAAATCCTTTCTAGGTTTGGGATCAGGGTTCACTCTATAATCTATAAAGTCCATTGCTATATTGAAATTCTATAATTCTTAAAATATGCTTACCTTTCCTCCTGCCTTCCAGATATCATATTGCTTGATATATGTGTGCTTCCAAATAAGAACTAACTTAACATCTTGATTATGATTATAGGGTTTTAAGAAAATGAGTTTCAAGGAAATATATTCAAGGACACTTATTTAGATGGCCAACTTTTATTTCTGTTCGTCTGTAATTTAAACTCAATAAAATCTCTTTTTTTTAACACAATCAAGATGCTTAATTTTGCATTGTTGAGAATAAAGGCATTTCCCAATATACGCACACCACCCTTTCCTATGGGCAATCAATTGCAAACTCTTTCCTTTTATCCCACATGCCCCAAAGCCATTCCCATCCTTCCTCAACCTTTTTCTGGACAGTGATCTTGCTATCATGTGCCCAATGGCTCAGTCTATGGCTAATGATAATTCACTGTCTCCTCCCTAATAAACCAGCACTTAGCATAGTGCCTGCACTGACTGATACCCTACCTCCCTCCTAAAGGGTATTCTTAACCTACCATGGAGACCTTTTGCTCTCTCTTTCACTGTTCATGGATTAGTTAATTGCACTTTAGACAATTATTTTATGGACAAACACACCCTCTTTACCTCATTTCAACTTTCCCTCCGTCATCCAACTTATGCTCCAATGGTCTCTACTTTTTGGTCTCTTACTCTATTTCCATATGTCTTTCCTTTTGTATCTTTCTCTATCATTCCCTGGCTCTATTTATATATCTATCTCTTACTCTCTTCCTCTGAATGTCTCTCTGTCTTACTTTCCCATTTCCAAAATCTTGTGTTATTTTCTCATCTTATAGAAGCAGATTCCAAGTTACTGAGTGCAAGGTATAGTAGAAGGGGCTTGGGATTTTTAACTAAAAATCTCAACTTGAATCCTTCCCAGCTGTGTA